TACGATTTTCATCCTTGCTTTTGATTATCTCTCTCGCCTTATGAATCAAATGCAGCTGTTACACCCTCACACTCAATTTATGCATAAATCTAAGCTTATGGTTAGCCACCTTGCTTACGCTGACGACGCTATCCTTTTTTCCAACGCCAGTAAGACTGCTTTTAAAAGTTTGATGCAAACCTTAAATATATTTTAAAATACTTCTGGATTAACCTTTAACAATGCTAAATGTCTGCTATATTTTAGCAAGTATGTTAGCACCACCCACACCTCCTGGGCTGCTACCTTCACTGGATGTCAAGTGGCCTACCTTCCTCTAAAATATTTGGGAGTCAATCTTTTGCGGGGTAGACGGAGACAAACTCAGATGGATGATGTTGTTGATAAAATTAAGGCTAAGATTAATGACTGGAGAAATACCTTCCTTTCTAATGGGGGTAGACTCACTTTGCTTAAGAGTGTCCTTTACGCCCTCCCTCTTTAAGCTCTTCAAGTTCTTCATCTGAAATAAAGTACTCATATTTCTTTGGAGAGGATTTTTAATAAATTTCTTTGGGCCGGTAGCACTCAGCGTAAGATTTGGACTACGTGGGATAAAGTTTGCAAACCCAACACTGCTGGTGGTCTAGGTTTTAGGAACCTTAATCACATTATGGAAATCAACATGTGTAAACTTTGGTTCAAATTTCGTTCGGGCACTTCTCTCTGGGCTCATTTTCTACATTACAAATATTGTACCCATTCGCACCCTGCTAATATTGTTTGGAAGGTTGGGGATACTAAAGTTTTGAAATCACTGCTAAATGTTAGATCTATAGCACAGAATTTTCAGGGTCGCTGATGCCAAATAAATAAATAAGTTGAAGGATTAGATCTGAGATTATTGAGTACTATATGCCAAATTTATTGGGCCAGCCTTGCCTGCTGATGTAATTAATCATTCTGATGTGGAATAGATAAAGATGCTATTTTTTTTTCCTTATTATAAAATGTAATTTAAGTATGGTGGTTGGGTAGGGTGCATCAGAATTTAATTTCTATTTGTTTTGGATGATCAAATGTCACACCTTTTTTCTTTAATCTTTGATGTAAGTTTAAGCTATTCTTTGGTTTTCTTAAATTAAATTAAATTGTTTTTTTTTTCTTTTAATTAATCAACATTGTTTGATTTCTAAATATTTTAATTGCAATTAAGCCCTTGAGTTGGCTTATGCATCCTCCTCCTACTTGATTGTGTCTTGGATAAGTTTTGCCTTAGACAATCAAGCCTAACTGCAATGACGTAAAATAATTTAAATATTTATAAATAACACAATATATTGCTCGGGAAGTTTGGCGCCCGGTTGGGTTGTATTTTGGTATCAATTGGACTCTGAATTATTATGATCATCGTGAATGGAGAAATTACATCAAAGTTTGGAAGGCTGCACATTTTTATAAAGAAACTTTGGAACCTTTTCCTTTTGTTATTCTTTGGTTCCTTTGGTCTGCTAGGAAAGCTCATAAGTACGAGGCTTTCCCCCCTACAGCTGCTCTTACCACTTCATATTTAATTGCTTATTTTCTTAAAGTTTCTCGCCCCATTGCATTAAGCTCAAATTTGCTCAGAGGGGTAGGAAGGCCCTTCTGATACGGTGGCAACCCCCCTCCGTTGGTTGGATTAAACTTAATGTTGATGAGAGCTGGACTTTATCTGCTGCTGGGACGGGTGGGATTTTTCGTAACTCTTCGGGGAGATGCCTTTGTTACTTTGTCTCACCAGTTTATGTCTCGACACCTTTAGAGGCTGAGTTTTATTCTTTATGGAATGCTTTACACATTGTTGTGACCTTACATCGCCGTGCTTTAATTATCGAGACTGATTGTATGACTATGTTAAATATTCTAAATAAGAGCACATTCCCTACATGGAATGTCATTTGTCTGTTTAACATGATTCAGGGGTTCATTAAAAGACATAATTTGGTTTTGCAATTTAATTTCATCTATAGAGAATGTAACACTGCTGCTGATTGGTTGGCCAAACAAGGTCTCAAATGAATTATTGTGGGTGTGGTGCCCCCTCTTCAACTTCAAATACTTTTAAATGGGGATTTTTTACTGTGCCTTATATCAGAAGATATAGAGATTTTATATTTCTCTGCTATTTCTGCTTCGTTTTTATTGGTTCCTCTTACTGTTTATCTGTTCAATTTCCTCATGTTTTATTCTGAGTTGCATTTTGATAGCCTTTTTCACCCCGTTTTGTCTTCGAATTTTCACCCCGAGGTTGGTTTTCATGTTTTATCTTGCTTGACTTGCTCTTTTTGGATGCCTGAGATCTCATTTATGGGTATTAGAGTTGATAACTTTACCATGAGATCTCATTTGGGTATTAGAGTTGATAACTTTACCATGAGATGTATGGAGATGCTGCCTTTCAATTTCGGACATCTGGGAACTACTTGGAGCGGCAGGGATGGTTTATGCAAAAGTTTTGTGGATTTCCTCACTGCTTGCAGGTTTTGGCTCTTATTGTTGTGATCTTCACTGGATCTACAAGCCGTCAGTTTGACCCTGCTCCTCGACACCACTGTTACTATGGGTTTTTATGCATACTGTTATTTTGGGAGACTTTATACGTGTAATTTTTTGGGTATACTTTTTCTTTTGGTATACGTTTTGGATGATTACATATACCTTAGGTTTGTTTCTTTGCGTTGCGTTGTACTGCGGTGAGTGGAACCCCTAGGGGTTTGTTGTATTTTTTTTGTTTTTAGATGGGGATCCACTTTCCCTCCCTAACTATGTAATTTCCTTTTAATTAACGCGTAAGGAGCCACGAGCTGCTCTTTAATTAAAAAAATGGACAGTGAAATCGAAGTTGTTCAACACAACACAGGCCAATCGTAATAATTATGCATTGAAAAATGTTTATCTTCAAGCAATTTTCAAATAAGGCCCTTGAGCTTTATTTTGAAACAATGGCTCAAATCTTGTTGTTTGGTTATTTATTGTTGGGATGGGTTGGGAATATGGCTCAAACTTGCCTAAATCTCTACTCAATTTTGGTTATAGTTTCTTTTTGATGATGAAGAGTTTATATAAGTTGACTATATTAAGTGTTTATTTTATTTTGCTCTAATCTCTTTACGGATTATTAGATTCATTTTAGTTAAATGCACTCATTCATATATTTATTGGAATTCTCCTGCAAAGGCTAATCCAACAACTTAAAAGCAAAGGAAATACTAGGATAATTCAAACACTCTTAGAAAGTTACAATGTTCTTTACAAAATTTGTGTAATGATGTCATAATTACATTAATGACAATAGGTGTCTCCCTCACACACCTAGATATGTGTGCATTGTTGATACTTATTGGCCTTGACTTTGCAATGAAGCAAAATGCGAGGCGAAGATTCAAAATAAAAGCACAGCTAGAGCTAGAACTATGATTGGAGGCGTACTTCACCCTTTTTTGTAGCATATTGTAATTTGCACAATATTTCAAATTTCAAAAAATAGAAACTCATTTCTTTGGGAAATTTACATGCATACCACCCAATTCTAATCTATTTACACATCTGACACCCGAAGTTTGATATTTACATTTATATAACCTTGATGTTATAAAACTATGTATTAAATGGTTTATTTTCACTTTTGAAAAGGTAATGATGGCGGTAGTTTTGATGTGATGTTAACGATTTGAGTGGTATGCGTGCAAATATAAATGTTTAGGTGTTTGATATTTAAATACAAGAGAATTGTGTGGTATGTATGTAAATGCTCCAGCTCAAATTCATTCTCAGCAATATAAAAAATTTGGTCTCAACTCCATTTAGTATTGACAACCAACCAACCTGGAAGGCACAAGTTACCAAGCTCTTTAGGGCAAATGGGTATGATTCTTTTCTTGATGGATTATGTCCTTGTCCTCCACGACATACCTTAGAGGCAAATGGCACCCAACTTCCCAACCCCAACTTCACCAAAAGGATGCTGATCGACAAAACTTGACAAGGGCTCTCTACTCTGTCATCTCACCCTCTATTCTACCATATGTGTTACCACTAGAAACTTGCCATGATTTATGAACAACCATTGAGCGACAACTTCAGTCATCTAACCGCTCTCGTATCATCCAATTGAAGAACGAACTTTGCAATCTAGGCATGACGGATAAGGCCATGAATCAATACCTCTCGGAAGTCAAGGCAAAGGTCGACATCCTTGCAACTGTAGGTGCATCTCTCAATCCGTAGGACATTAGTTAACATACCCTTAATGTCCTACCCTCCACCTATCATGCATTTAAAACAACTATCCGTACCAATCTTCATCCAATTTCTCTAGATGATCTTTACAGCCTGCTATGCGTTGAAGAAATTAACATAGCAAATGAGGCAATCAAAGAAACACCCAATACTACGGCACTCTGTGTCTCGCGGACATGGAAGAAATCACGCCAACAATTTCTCAGCCACAGGAAGCTGGAGCAGGGTGCTTTACACAATTGTGACTTCTCATTTATTTGCCAGATTTTTAAGATTAGTTAGTGATATTTCTGGTCATACTTTTATTTGTCCCTTAAATTTCTTTTGGGGCATTTACAAATCCTATTTATTTACATATCTAACACCTAAATTTTGCTTTTTACATATACATCACCTAAAATTTCTTATCACATTAAAAATACCACTATTTTAACTAAAAAAAAAATGAAATGCACCTTTTTCATAATAGCTAAAGTGGCATATATGTAAAAATTGGAAAATTTAGTTGTTAGACACTTAAACACATAGGAATTGAGTGGTATCTATGTAAATCTTCCATTTCTTTTCTGTCACTCTTTATGACCTATTAAATTCTTAAGCGGAATGGATGATACTTTATTCTGAATTTCAGATGGCCAAGAACTCTGTCAATGGCAAGAGCACTTTGTGAGCTTCATCTACAACTGAAACAAAGCTGTAATTCTGAAACTTCTCATCCAAAGACACCACAACAAAGGGAACAAAAAAGAAAAAACATAAAGAGAAAGAAAGTAGCCGTTAAGTTAGAAGCCAAATTTACTGATGGAGCAGAGTTTCTGAAAACTCCTAACTTGATGAACAATCATATCACTCAGCCTACAGATTCCTGCAACAGTTCTAGCCCTTCTCAATCCTTCAATGATGAACTTAAGTTTTCTGAAGCAATTGGCGATTTTCCTTCTCCCGAAGAACTGGCCCCTCTGGATGCTGCTTTCCTCGCCGACTGCTGTAAACTCGGATATCGAGCTCAACGTATCATCTCTCTTGCCCAAAGTATCGTCGATGGCACTTTGAAACTAAGGAAGCTCGAGGAACTGTGTGAGGGATACTCACTGGCGAGCTATGACTCAATCGACCAGAAGTTGTCGGCTCTCAGTGGATTTGGACCTTTTACACGTGCGAATGTACTCATGTGTATGGGTTTCTATCATAGAGTTCCAGCGGACACAGAGACTGTTAGGCATATAAGACAGGTTTATTTGTTCTATTTCTTGTCTATGACTGGATATAATTTTATTACGAATGTCTCATAGAACATGTGCAGTTTTATGGTAGAAATTGCGACATTAAATCGGTTCAGGAGGATATAGAAGTCATATACGGGAAGTATGCTCCATTCCAGTTCTTGGCATACTGGTATTCTATTTTGGCCACAATCTGTCTTATTTTACCCATGGGTTTATTTAGGGGTGTTACAAATTGTCCCGACATGTCAACTCGATCTAAACTCAGCTAAAAATATTCGAGTTCTGGTTGAGCCAAATAAATTTTGGATTTTGTTCGGGTAGATCTATCAACCCGAAATTGACTTTCTTACTAGAAATTGATCGTCAATCCAAGTCCAACCAGCATGAATATCGACCTGAATAGTTGTTATGTCTTATATTAAACGGGTTACCATTGAGTTCGAATCAGCCAGTTGAAAATGGGTTGTGGTTAGGCTCAGGTTTGACTTTCTGACCCATCTGACATTTGGGTTGGGTTGGGTTGGGTTTAAGCAGTTTTGTGTCGGGATAATTTCAGGTCCTGAACCCTAAACTATAAACCCAATTTGATACCGCTAGATTATATTTGTCTTATGATCCAAATTCCATTAGGATTGAACTATGGGGCTATTATGAAGGGAGGTTTGGAACTTGGAGCAAGCTGCCAGCCTCCTATTATCCGCTGGTCACTGCAAGTAATATGAAAGACAGAATTTGTAAAGGATTGAAAGTGAAGAAGGCTGAGCCAGAAGAGCAGTAAGAGCACATCCATATTTATCTGGTGAGTAATTACCATGTTCATGAGTCTTTTGGCTGATATTTTTTTTTTTCTGTCAAGAAAACAGTACTGTTATCCAGATTTTGTAATAGATGCACTATTTTTGTGCTGGTTCTTTTTAAGTTGTGTAAGAGAAAAGTGTCTGACTATTTATAGGAGATCATTTTAGTCCCAAAATTTATAAAAATTTCAATTTAGCACCCATATTTTTAAAATAGAGGCTGAAATAGTCTGTGGGAAGGATTATTTTAGCCCCAATTAAAAGAGTTTGAGGTTTAATTTGACACTTTTATAGACTCTGAGATTAAAATGATTCTATGTAAATAGTCAGGGGACTATTTGGCGCGTTATTTGTTCTATTAAATGCTCTCAAATAAATCCAAAAGGCAAAATACATTTTGTATTTTTTTAGCCAGATTTGCTCTTGATTGGATAAGACTTTACCGAATTGTTTCTTGATTTAGAGAAAAAAAAAAGGATGTTTTTGTAAGATTCATTTACATTTTATATTGAAAATATGAGAGCTTGCTTGCATAAAAATACTAAATATTGTCATCATTTGGAACATGGTTGCCAATATACTTGCTATACAAATCACCTTAATGATCTTATTACAAGCAGTTGATACTTGTTCATTTGCTGAATATAGTGCAACACCTACAACATGTGAATGAATAAAGTGCTAAGATACTCTCTGACTGTTTACATTTGGTTATTTTAGTTTCAGAGTTTATAAAAGTGTAAAATTAGCTCCAAAATTTGTTAAATTAGTGCTGAAACAGTTCTCTGTGGAGTATTTCAATCCATATTAAAATAGTTTGGAGATTAAATTGGTACTGCTATAGCTATGGGACTAAAATAACCTCCTAAGAAGAGTTAGGGGACTATTTTGACACTTTTCTCACCCGTAGATTATACAGACACAACAACGAGTTCTAAATAAACCCATATTACTATATTTCTTAAAACAAAAGTATGGAAACCATAGTAACATAAGAATTTATTTATTATTTATTTTCATTTTATCAAAGGTCTCCATTATAGTATTCACACTAGGGCAATCAACTGACAAATGTCTACATTTCAGTTCTACGATACAAGTTTCCAGTCTTAATTGAACACAATAAATTATATATATTTAGATTCAGCTTTTGCAACTTTATTTCTTATAAGCTTAAACTGATCATTGCAACTCTCCGGGGCTTGAAATGAAATTTGATAGCGTGGCTGATGCTAACATAAGCGAGCCAAATCTTATTGCTTATGTTATGAAATGATTTTTTTGTCGAATAAACTCGCTGAAACTGTTGTTCTATGGACATGGAATTTTTTTTGAAGATTTACATAAATACCACTCAATTCCTATGTATTTACATATCTAGCACTTACACTTTAATTTTACATGCATACCACCTTACCTATCCATGCAAAGTCGCAAGTTAAAACAGTGGCATCCTTGATGTGATATGAAAGATTTGGACGGTATAAATGTAAAAAAAAAGTAAAGTTTTGGTGTTAGATAAGTAAATACATAGGAATTGTGTGTTCTGTATGCAAATGCCCCAATTTTTCATCCTCCTACAATTCGAACATTTCAATAGAACTCTGAAGAGTTGGTCTTTTGTTGGTAATAATGGCGGACAATAGTTTTAAACCTGTTCAAAGTTGACCCATCACAATCTCACATGAACTTCAAATGGATTCACTACTAAGGCAGATCAGGTCTGCTTGGGCACGACACGAAAGGCCATTAAGTTCAGCATTAACCAACCTCATCATGTTTCAAAATTTTATCTATTCAGTCCAAAATGTTAAGAATAAATTATGTTTTAATTACCAGGAATGTTATTCTGTATTGATTTAATGATGAACAGTTGAGCTTATTCCTCTACAGGAGATGCCTTAATGCCTTAATTAGATGTAAACTCTTTTACATTGTGCAGCCATTCAAATTAATTACTGCTCTAAATATTCTCTTGTTCTCTGTTCTTCCTTGAACTTGCTGTAGCTTGAGAAACTAATGAATGTAGTACAGAAATGATGTTTTTTACTTGATTCTGGAATAATTTTATACGGTGAAGAATCATTCTAAAAGCACTTGACTCGGCCTTTCGTTTTGTTCGTTATTATCATAATATAGGGAAACTTACATACATACCACAAAATTCTTGTGTATTTGCATATCTAACATGTTTGATATTTACATTTATAATATTTTGCTGCCATAAACTTATGCATCCAACGATGTATATTTTCACTTTTAAGAAAATTGTGATGATATTTTTGTTGTGATGTCAAGGATTTGAGTGGTATGCTTGTAAATATGATTGTTAAGATATCAGATATGCAAATGTGTAAGAATTGTATGGTATTTATGTAAAAGCCCTCATAATATATTACATTTCTGCCCATTAAAATATAAATGGGCATTATAAAAACCTGTAACCAATCTCCTCGTGTCATAAACTGTTATTAAACTGAAGTTTTTCACTCATTATACAAATTTTTTTTTTCAGAAGTATTAAAATGTACTTTGCTAAAATTTTCACTTATCCTTCAATAGTATGCCATACATATCAGCATCATTTACAAACATATTCCTCAGTTAAATATGATATTGCTATTTTTTGAGGATCTGATTTCCCTTAGCCCTGTGAGATATGACTTGTCTCATGTGTAACCAAGTTTGTAATCCCATCTCCAATAGTAATGAATCCGCTTCCATTTTGAGAAAGCAATTTAGTTAATCTAAATCTATAGCCACATGAATCACTTAGGGTCCGTTTGGGGCAGCTTATTTGATGCGGCGGCATTTTGAAAACACACCAGACCTGTTTGGGTAAACTGTGTTTTGGCAGCTCATGCGCTTTCAAAACGCCGAAAACAGAGTTTTCACATCGCACTTATCTAGGAGGTGGTAGCTTTCTGGCAGCTGTCAGACTTTTCTAAAAAAAATTAAAACTTGTAATAACCACCGCACCTAGCTTATCAGCATATTATTTTTAATCAGTTTATCAGCAGATTATTCAATAAGCTGCAGCTGCCTCAAACAGTCCCTTAGGCTGATTTAGACTTTTACTTGGCCGAGAAATAGTTAGATATTGCATATAAATGAGATTGACTTTGTTAATACTTAGTTACTCCATATGAATCATTTACTTTTGATTAGACTTTTAGTTGGCTTAGAAAGAGTTAAATACTTTATATATATGAGATTGACTTTGTTAATAATTGTATTTTGATACACTATGAAGCAAAGGTTATCTAATGAAAGACTAGGGTAGACAACAAAACGTTATAAGACTAGATAGAGAATAATATGATTTTATTTATTTATTTATTATTTTTAGCTAAGTAATCATAAGGAAGGATAGGTATATTGAATCAGTTGTGGCTTAATAGGATGAAGTCAACAAAAGCTAAAACAAATTAAATAAAGTTGATCATGCACTCATCACTTAAGAAGAATGCATGGCTCGTGAATAGGTTGAAGAAGTTTAGAGGATTGTAACTCAATGCTTAAGTTCGCCTTGAATAAACAAAGGTTGAAAGGGTTTTGAGCAAATTCATCATTTGTAACCATGGTTAAATATCTTAGGATGAGTTAAAGTAGCTTGCTTTAAACCAACAAAATCAGGTCAAGAAGATCGCCTATCACCCCTCAAAGTCATAACTAGGTTAATGAAGTCTAAATGAATGCTGATCAACACCTAAAGTAAATTAGGATGGGCCTAGGTCATCTAAGCTCACTAAATTTGATTGGACATAAGAATTGTTTGGGTTCATTTTTATGTAAGGTACTTAAAATTAGCCAATCACTAAAGGTATTGGCCTAAATAAAGGGACGAAATATATGAAATTTATGTTTGATTTGGAGCGCTCTAACCCAATTTAAGGATACTTAAGATCAATTAGAGGGATCTATGAGATCTAAAATATTGATGTTTTTTAATTTTTTTCTATCATATGTTTTGAAAGACTTCTATCTAAATGATTGAATATATAATTTGAAGAATAATATGCTACCTCGAGGGGGCAAAAAGATTAGCTTCAAATTGATTTGATTATTCAAATGATACAAATCTTTAAGATTTATGAGTCCACGTTCACCAGAGATTTTTCGCCTACTTTATGGGTGTATGATGTGATTTATTTTATTCTAGAGTGTCAATTTCACTACAAGAGCAAATCCTCATAGTTAATTACAACTCAAGATTTGTGAACTCTCAGAAAATTTTTGATTAAATTATTGGCCTATTTTGTTTATGTTCTCAAAATTTGGAGGTTAGAGTTATTGTTTCAAGAGTTTCAAACTGGATATGTTCAAATATGGAGGGATTGTTTTCAAAGTTCAAAGGCAAAAGGGTAGGGAGTGCAGATACAGGGAAGCCCGTTGAACCTTCCAATCTATTCTATGGTTGGGCTTTATGTGTTGGAACGGAGCATTCAATTTCAGTTGGAGTTGAGAATTTTGTTAGAATGTTTGGAACCTACAATCCAACAATGTTGAGTCGTGGAAGGGCCTGCAAGGGGGTTAACATACCCTAAGTTTGAGGTGTGCTCATGGAGGTTAAAAGAGTTGGACTTGTTATAATTGTGAAGAGGTTGGAAGTGGTTTGGTTCAATTTGAGGAATTTGAATAAAATTGGTTAGATTGATTTTTAGATTGAGGTTGAAGTTTTGGCCCTAGAACATTCTAAGCTCAACAATGAGAATAAATAGGTTTGGACTAATCTAAATAATTGGGTGTGACGACTTTGATGAGGATGTCCATGATTTTTCATCTTCCCAGGTTATAGGCAGTCTTGTACACCAATCAAATGGTTAGAGGGTTGCACTGTTGTCATAGAGATGACTAGTAGGGCCCTATTTAACCATTAGAAGGCTGGAGGTGCCTTCGTTAGTAATTATGAGTTATTTGATTTTAAAGCACCTCATAGTTCAAGGAAGTTACATGCTTTGGGGTGTGTATAGGTCCTAGTCCTTAGAAACTAGAGAAGGGTACCTGGTAATTTGATTTAGGCTTTTAGGCTAGAATAATTAGGAGTATATGGAGCTAGGTTTTATTTATATGTTGACTATCCTAGGGTTTGCCTTTGTTCTATCTATATGTGATTTGGAGTTATTTAAGTTGCTAGATTTTAATTCATTTTCTAGTATTTGATCTTTTAGTTATAATTTAGTTGACTTTTTTTAGTTTATTGTTATCCACTGTTTTTTTTTCCCTAGATCCATTAGTTTTCTAGATTTACAAGAATGTCACTTGATTCCTTTGTATTTGCACTTACAACACTTAAACTTCCATTTTACATACATAACAATACAAATCTTTATTGTCACATCAAAACTTTTTTCATTTATTTTTCCATAAGTAAAATATACATTCTGATGCTTGCATTAGTCACACTATGTTATCATTGAGAAATATATGAAAGTTTTGGTGTCACACCAAGCTACATGCATATCTCATCAGATATACCATCAACATACATTTTCATGCATAGATTTATTACATCAAATTATTATAAATATAGATTAGTGAATTTGTGGTACACATACAAAATAAATTTACAAAAATGCCACTCAATTCTTATATTTTATTTTTCGTCTAAGGAATGACCAGAGACTATTATACGAGCCCTGACTATTCCTCATGCGTATAAGAATTTGAGTATTACACCCTACACTCGGAGGGAATCGAACCCCAGACCATATGGGACTTACAACTGACAAGCAGATATCCGACCAACTAATCTGAGTACACGGCGCGCCACTCGATTCATATATATATACATATCTAACACTCAAGTTTCATGCATATCACCTGAGGCTTTCATGCCACTTCAAAAATATGATTTGCATCATATAAAAATGCCATCATTTCAAGCATACTTCTTCATCCATAGGCAAAAGGTCATATATTTGAAAATTGAAGTTTTGGGACTGTTTTGGGGCTTCATTTAGGTAGGTTTTGGGTGGAGTTTGGCGCTGTTTTGGGTTGAATTTAAGTAGATTTTAAGTGGTGTTAAGGGACTGTTTTAGAGTAGATTTGGAGTGGAGAAAGATGGGAGTTGGGGTCTTAGTACTTAGAAAAAATATTCAGTTAAGACATCTATGCTTCCGGATTGCCAATCACAGGCCGTCACGTTGCCCACCTATGGGGTGTATGACAACATAGCGTTCGATGGTTGGCCGTCCGGACTCACCACCTGCAAGGCTTATGAAGGTGTCAGCAGCTTTCTCGTTCATTAAAATGAAGAAAAATGTGAGAGAACTGAAATTAGGTGCAACTCTCTTTCATCTACAAATCTAACATTTAACTTCCATATACATATAGGGGTGGTGTAGGTGCTAAATATGTAAATAGACGAGAATTAAATGGTATGTATGTAAATCATCAATTGTATATATATTTCTGTGCATGCCACCCCAATCTAACATCTAACTTACATATATATATAGAGTGGTGTAGGTTTTAAGTTTAAGTTTGGGTTAATTTCGAATTAATTTTGAGTTTAAATTTTAGTTAAGGTATATTTAGGTTAAATTTGATTTATGTTTTAATTAATATTTCAATTTGGATTTTAGTTTAAGTCATTTGATATTAAATTCCATTTTATTTTTATATTAATATTTTAGTGATTTATGATTATTATTTTATTTTCTTCAAATCATCATGGCCCCAATATGCACCCCCAAATGGAGTCTGATGTGGATACGAGCTGGCTCATTTTAAAGATTTTGACGTTCCAGACACACAAGCACAATTCGATTCACGAAATGATGCTACGACGGAAACCTTTTATTACGACGGAAACCTTTTATTGCGACGAAAATTTTATGTATTAAAAATTAAAGCTCATGAATTCATGAATAAATAGTGTCTAATCAACGTCAAACTCGTCGCAAGCTTCTCCAAGCATGACGACTAATACAATATGGATTGTAAAATAAAATTTCAAGTGCCGCGATGGGCGCGGCCCGAAAGATGACGATAGATTTGGGTCCATTTTTTATGTTATATTCAATTCAGTCTAGTTTTAAGTTTTAATTTAGATTTATTGAATTATGTTTATGTTTCAATTAAGTTTAATTTTAGTTTTAATTTAAACCAAACCAACATCCATCTCAGCCAACAAACCACATGAGTCAGCTCAAAGCCCAATCCAATCGGGCTTGACCAACCACCTAGGGTGGGGTTTCTAGGAAAAAAATATTCCAATTAAATGTAGGTAATGTGGGATTAACTTAGTCTAACCCTTAATGTGGGATTTTTACAGTTCCAATGAACACGAAGTTGACTTGAATGGACATCAACAACCTATAGACCGTCCTCACAAAATTATAATTTTTTTTCGATTGGATTTGTTTTAATTAAGATTATTAGAAAATAAAGAAAAAATTTTCTTTGTAAGAAATTAATTTAATTGTTTTATAACATTATAAAATAATTTCTTATTAATTTTATGGCAATTAGTTTGTATTTTTAGGATTTTCCAACCTCAAGATGTGTATTTTCTAAGTTATGTTTAATTAATTTATTCTTGAATAAATAAATTTGTTGATTGAGATTACACCTTTTATACATTGCCATGTTATTAGCTTCATGACTAAATTGGCATGGCACTTTGGAATTTATAAATATCAACTGAATAGAGATCAAAAGATTCGAGTTTTGACCTAGGAATTACAGTTTAGGCTAGTGCATGAAAGTGTACGATACCCTTGTATCAATCTTACTCAAATTATACAAGAAGTCACACTTCTTTTTTCTTCAACAAACAACATATGCCATTCATGGAAGATGTTGTTGATTGTTAGTGTTTGTGTATTCATGAGCATTCATTTCATAAATGATTAAACTTAGTCATTGGATTTATGGAGCTTACTTAATGGCTTGCTCAATTTAAGTAGCCTTGTTTTTGAGAAAATAATAATATTTTTTTATGTAACTTTCATATGGTATTGTATTACTTATTAAGAAAATGATTTTTACCACATGAGCTTGTTGATGCTTCTCTCTATTCTAAGAAAGGGTTCAGACTCTATAAGAGAAATTATTATCCCACCAATTGCAAGGGAAAGAAGGGGAATTCATTCATGATCTAAAGTAGGGATATACCTATTAGTTATTGCATAGTGCACAAGGATATTTTAGAGTTAATGATTAATTGCAAATTAATATTTTATGAGGGCATGGATTAAGCTCGTGAAAAGAACCCGGCTAGCCTGAGTGGGATGGAATCATTTAATCCTTAAAAAAAAAAAGTGATTGATTCAAGATTATTGCAGACATTTGTTGGTCTTCTTTCTTTGAGCTTAGAATGCTAAGAAAACAAGTAGATTGGGCTGCACCTAAGTTTGTTATTCTAGCTAATATTAAGCAACCATAGCGGATTGGAACAATTTGGGGCCCTTACTGTATTTTCAAGTTTTATTGATTTCATATTCTTAGTTTCATTAGGTATGTATATACTTTTAATTGCCCCGTCGACCAAAATAGGTCCATATAATTCCAACGACATTCTATTAGATTGATTTAGGTGCAGTAGGTTTAGCTTGAGATTTTATATATTAATCTTAACACAATTTAAAAACTCATATAATGTTTGATTTTTTTTTGTCTTATCAATAATTTATTTTCAATTTCATTTTTTAATCACTTTAAAAAATACATTTAGAAGATATATAGTAAACACAAATAGATAATATTTTCTAACATTAATATAAAATATGTTAGGTAGTAAAAGATCACAATAAATATATATAATTAGTAATTAATCTAATTTCTAATTAATTACTATTTAATCATCAATTAAATTAAATTACCATCATACTCATTCATTATTATAAAAGTTGGTTAATTCTCTCTTCAAATTAAAGTTGGCTAGTTGTAAAAATAAACTTTAATTTAAATTTTAGTTATATTAGCCATAAATAATAATGTTAATTAAATTTCTAATTTTTTTTTCTAATTTCCATTATTACAATTAGCGTTTAATTTAACACATAATTATTCCTTTATCTAATTTCCATAATTCAATACTAATACAATCTAAATGTTCCTAGTGCAACTATAAGTGATCAATCATTCATATAAACATATACTTAATTTAATTGCTATGGTTAATAATGTGATAAATTGCCATATTCTTTTATTTGATATAAGCAATACTCATTTACTATTTAATATAAATAAATCATAATACTTAAATAAAAATATAATTGATCAATAATATTCTAAATTATTAGGCCTATTATATAAAATTCCCCAAAAAATAAAATAAAAATAAAAACATGAATAATACACAATTTAATATTGTGAAAAAAACTAGACAAACACAATGCAAATCTCCTACTTGTCCCAAAGCAATTCATCCTCCCTCACATTTTTCCTCTCCGCCCTCTTCAGGGTAACGAACTGTAGTAAATTGATACCCTAGATCCTCCCCATACCGGCGAGATCCCCGATCTACTCCATGGCGTGCATCAAGAGCGCCCCTCGATCGGCCCTCGCCGCTTTCTCCCCGGATGCGCCGTACCTCGCCGCTGGAACGATGGCCGGCGCCGTCGATCTATCCTTTAGCTCATCGGCGAACCTTGAGATCTTCAAGCTCGATTTCCAGTCGGACAGTCAGGAGCTCCCTGTCGTGGGTGCTTGCCCTAGTAGCGACCGTTTTAATCGACTTTCATGGGGGAAGGCAAAATCCGGTTCTGGGGAATATTCTTTCGGCCTCATTGCAGGAGGCCTTGCAGATGGCACGATTAACGTGTGGAATCCAGCTAAGCTAATTGGGTATTGGCTTTTCTAAACATCTGACAGTAGCTTTTTTTTTTTGTGAAATTTGATTCTTGTTCCTTGCCTGGATCATGGATCTTTTAAATATTTCCACCCTTTTGGATTTCATAGATTGAATTGGAAAATTTTGATTTTGATGCAGTTCCGAAGGGAATGATGACGCCTTTGTTACACGGCTTGAGAAACACACAGGACCGGTACTCATTTTTTGCTTCAGCGTGATGAGCAACGTAAAGTTGATTTTATATGTTTCATGTATTTACCCTTTCTGGAAATTTTTGATCGTGATTGCAGGTTCGTGGGTTGGAATTCAATCCTCATGAGCCAAAACTGCTTGCTTCTGGGGCAGATGAAGGTGAACTCTGTCTTTGGGATCTAGAGAATCCTTCGGAACCAATGCTTTTTCCATCTTTGAAGGTATGGTACGATGTATTAGGTTCCATTAAACAAACACTTTATTTATTATCTTTGAGGGTACTCTTGGCATGCAACATGGAGAATGCTTGAGTCTTCTTTATTTTTCCAGAAAACTGTGTGGATAGAAAGGTAGGGTGTAAAGGACTTGTTATGTTGTTTTGGTAATTATCCTTTTTTTTGTTTTGTGAATAAGTGCTACTTTACACCTGATGTTACTAAGTGATTCTTCTGAGCAGACCTTTTGCTTCTTGAAGTTGGAGGCTTTATTGTAGACCTTATCATTTGTTGATTATATGTTCTTTTTACATTGATCCTTTATTGAATGCTTTTTGTTGGGACTAGAGGTTGGTTTTCCTTCTTGCTATTTGGCTGTCTATGGTTCAAATCATGGAGAGTCTCACTAATAAGTAGAGGTGATATAGACACTATCTTGATTGGATGTGATGCGTTGGGTTGGTTTTTGTTTTAGCTAACGAAAAAAGGGTCATTATTTTAGATCTATTACCCATACCCATCCATAATCATTACAAGTATTATTGGGTTGGGTGGGGTGGATGTTAATGTGAACATAAATTCTGAAATGTTTTATTTGTCATTGATATTGAAGTTATTTAAAATCTTCTAGATTTTGTTGTTTTGTAGGTTTGTTCTAGTCAATGTCAACAAATTTGTTATCAAATTGGTAGATTAGTTGGCAATATACTAGAATTTTGCTAGTTTGATTGCACTATGTCATTTCTTTGTCCTATAAATACGAGAACTTTGGGCTATTTATGGCACGACCAAAATTCATATTGTTGATTTCTAGATTCTTATTTACTTATTTTGGGACTAAATGTGATATTTGAAAATGTAGGAATGAGGTGAAAAAAAAATTCCCTACTCTTCATCCACCCCCCTGCCTTGCAATATTTTCTCGCTTCTTCAGCTGTGCATGAATAGTGAAATTATTGTTCCCTGATCAGTGAAAACCATCATACATAATGAAAAGTAAAGCCAAAATACCTGATTACTTCTACCACCCTCATCGACTCTCTCACCATTAAAGTTAGTCTCCAGATAGTTAGCTCCACTCAAATCCAAATTTGAATTCAAAGTTCTAGTTACGCTTCATTTTTCTCTTAAGCCTCTTTTTCTTAAACCATTTTTTATATCCAACTATTGTAGGGTCTAATCAAGATTAGCTATAAGTGACAGAAAATTCTTTGTAGAGTTTAGTTTTGCGACTAAGGCGAATGTTTCTAAATAATAAATGCTATGGGATTGAGTGAATTCTTTGAAAACCAGTTTGAGCATTGTATCTTTTTAGGGAGTCATCAGAATTATATTTGATTGTAAACACCCATTTACACCCGAAAATCGTATTTTCTCTAGGTAGATCAACCAGATCTTACGTGTCACTCTTCTCGAAGAAAATCTATTTCCACTTATGGACTTTAAGATCATCATGCACAATACTAATAATCTCCCTACATGACTATGTGAGGTAAAAGCACGAAAAGTGGGTGAAAGGTTTTCATACCACATATAATGAGACAATAGATGTTGGGTGCAAGGCCTTTCTCCAATGAGAATGCTAAACTCATTAGACTTAGGATTCAAACTAAGCTCAAATACAAGATTAAAAGACTTAGAATTCGAAGTTGAAGTGGACTGGACACGAGATAAAAGATTAGTGAGGACATTACCTGGTGGGTTCACGGATTTTGGGCAGTACAAAGAATTTGTAGACCATTTCTTTCGAGCTGTTCTTTACCACGAGTAGACAATATCAAACGGTACCACTATCATAGTTTTTTTTGTTTCTTTTTTGTTATGGACACTATGAGATAACATTGTAAGAATTTCAATGTCTAAAAGGCTCGACACAGCCTTTCCTGATATAATTTCGTTATTGTAGATTTTTAGATTGAACAATCAAAAGTGGGGAGATACTATTTTGGTTGCATTCGTTTTGAAGAAAATTCTGAAACTTAGTAGACAAATATTTGTTTTGTTCCCTCCCTTTAAAATGAGGTTAAAAAAAGGGTTATAATTCATCCATTTTAACAAATATTCTTTTAGAATTGGAATCAAAGTATTTGTACATCTTTTGGTGAGGAGCATAACCAAGAATGAGTTCAACTTTTTCTTGATTATGAATATGAGCGAAGGCAATACACTCAAGTATCTTTAGAAATATAGAAGATGAGAGCCGATTCTTAGAAAAAAAATTTCTTAAAAATATCAAGTGATTTTTAAAGTTTAAAGTCTTATCGGGTGTTCTATTTATGAGAGGCAATAAGAATGGCCCCTCTCTAAAGATATTTAGACATTTGATTGGTAACTAACAATTATCTCTGATAAGTGCTTGTTTTTTCTATTAGTGACACCATTTTGTTGTGGAGCGTCGAAATAAGGGCTTTGATAAAATATTCATTTTTTGAAAAAAGTTGGGCCAAAATATTTTTGAAATACTCTTTAGACAATTACCAAGAGGGAACTATCAACAATATAAACCTTTGTATTGCCAACACAAGGTTATAAAAGAAAAATATTTTTGAACAACCAATCATGTGATCAGTTGCGCCAGAATCAATTATTCAAAAATATGAAAAATTATGAACAACAACTAACAAATCAATGACTAAATAATTGCCCTTCTGTGCTAAAGAGCAAGATGAATTCGGGGACAATTTTGGAGATTGAAATAATTTTTGCGGGTGCTTTAGTTGTTCCTTGGTGAAAGAGTCTGCATTCGAGTAATAGTAGATTCTCGAGTTTCTTTCATAGTGGCTTTTGAAATGTCAACCATACCATTTGGATTTTGATTTTCAATTTGTAAGTTTATCATGAGGCTTTCTATATGCCTTCTTATGTCATGGTTTTTTTTGTAATGCTCCCACCATGGTTTCTTACGCTTTTCTTTGTCAGTATCAACCCCTTTTGACATAAGAGCCGAGTTCTCATGTTCATTGCTATAAGATTTTGCGGTGAACAACATAATTTTTCTTCTCGACCTGTCACGCCTAACTTAAGAAAAAAATTCTCTAATCGAGGGTAGAGGTTCTTATGAAAGATTCAACCTCAGACTTTGTCTAAACTCTGATTAAGGCAGATTAAGAACATGTAGACTTGATCGTTTTCCTCTCTTTTTGTGGCGAGCATAGTCATTCAAATTCTCTCAAATGTCATTATAACATTTATCAAACTTTTACCATAATGTTTCCAACTCATTGTATTATGCAGTAACATTAAAATTATTTTCTTTGGGTTTCTAAAGTTGAGTTTTTCAACTAAAAATTTTATGAAGAATTTACCAAGTATGAATAGTGATCTCAATCGACCTCTGAGATATCTCGAGTATTGAGAATGAATAGATGAGACTTTTCTATGGTAAATTCCATAGATTTGATGTGTCATTCCATAATTTTCAGACTGACTCTTTTTCAGATTCGGATCGCTAGAAATAGGTTTTCAAATTTTTTCTTTTAAATACCCAATTTCGCCTCTCCCGCCAATCACCAATTTTATGAATTGAACCCACTCAAGGTAGCTGTGTTCATTAAATTTTATAATTGTTAATTAAACTCGTAAATTCTGAGGGAAATATTAGTTCAATATTGCCATGAGAGAAGCTGTAGGGTGAGGTGGTTTCAGAATTACTGGAGTTGGTCGCTGTGGTAGAATTTCTTTGAACTTCTGCCATCATTGCTTATTTGTACGACATCCTCAAAATCTGAAAAGGGAAAGCACACGTGCGGTGCTACCTAGAGGGAAAAAAGAAACATGCCCTAGTTTCGATATGGGCTTGGCTTGCTCAATTTCAACCATGTTATTGATGTCGGAGGAAGGACAAGTAATGATGATGTGATTGGAGCCTCGAATTAGGCGACGCCGGTCTCTGAACGCTGTGATATAGTCGTTTTGTTTCTGCTTGGCTCTAATTGAGACTGTATTACGAGTCATTGAATATTGTGATTCAGCTGTTGCTTTCTCAACTAACTCTAATTGCTATTGTACCGAGACTCTCTGAACAACACGATCTAGTCATTGCATTCGCAACTAGCTCTAATTTCGACTGTATTGCGAGGTGTCTGTCGGTCACGAAGACGATGATATTGGGAGTAACCTTGATGGGCAGAAGTGAAGCGAAGGTTTCTTGGAAGGGCAAAACTTGCAAATGACCAATTTGACGGGATTTGATCTCAATTTTGAATTCGATGGTTGACTCTGATAAGATGAAGATGGGGCGAGCTATTCATTATTAGAAAAAAACAGTAGAATATGTAATCAATAGGTATTTCTTGAGGGTCTGACAAGTGAATTAGGCTATAAATCAATCTAAAAACTGGGAAGATCAATTTTAGGCTTTGGTAATATCTAAAAAGTTTTCTTAGTAGAGAATCAATAGTGTCTATCTCTTGCTCGATGATAATCTTAGGCTCTGACATTTAATTAGATTAAGTTGGGCTTTAAGTTCAGGCGCTTTATTGGAGCTCAGATTCTAATAATTTATATTTAACCAGAAGATCTAGCTTATTACCAGCTTTGTGCAATCATAAATTTCTTATCGATATAGTCATTATATTCTTTGATGAGTCTAGTTTTAATATATGCCACTATATACTTTAATTTATATTTACACCTTGGGATTTATTGAATGTGCATTCTCTCAAAATAAACTGGCATTCACCAAAATTAAAAATTTAGACAGGAAATTATGGAGTTTCCTATCCCATTGTGGACCACAGTTTCACGATAATGATTAACACACTTGCAAATCAGCTTGTCTATGTTCGCGAGGCTAGCAACAAATTTCTTCCATGACAAAGCTTTATTCATCGAACTCTGTAGCTTTAACTTCTATCATGCGTTAATCTATTTGATGAGTAGACAATCAGTTAATTTGTTAGCAGTCATTGCTGCATGCATTTGATATGTGCTACTTATATCTGCTTTATAATTTTTGTTTTGCATCTCTGCATGGTCACAAACTCATTACTAGTTGACAACTATTTTCTCATGTAGTTCATACTTTTGTTGAGTAATTCATTATTTATTAAGGAGCTATGTGCCAGAAGTAGTCTCCTGATTATTTATATGGGTCATTTTGGTCCCAGAGCTATAAAGTTCTATACTAGTCTTATGACTATTTTAATGAAAACTAAAATAGTTTTTATTGGAGATTATTTCAAGCCGTACTAATGGACTATGGGGACTAGATTGACACTTATTTAAACTTTAAGACTAAAATGACCCCCTGCAGAGACTATGGGGACCATTTTGATACTTTTTTCATTTATTAAATCAAGACTGATGGTTCATTGTTAAGGGACTTTGATATCCATGCAAACAAGCCTTCTTAACTCATTTGTGTTTTGCCTAGAGTAAGGGTGCCCAGACAGAAATATCCTTCGTGTCTTGGAATTTGAAATTTCAACATATATTAGCTTCTACTTCCTACAATGGGATGACTGGTGAGTTTTTGAACCGTGTTCTTTCCTTGTCTTTATGTTTCTAAACCCTTTTCTAGGACTAATTGTTTAGCATGCATCTTGTAATATACTTACTATTATTATTTCTATTTTTTGTAAATTGCAGTTGTTTGGGATTTAAAGCAGCAAAAGCAAGTAACAAGGCAAGTATCTGAAATATTTAATGTTAGTAGTAATGAATTGTTTTGTATTCTATTCGAAAGTCTTTACCAGTAGTTTTATCAGCTGATTATTTTGTGGTCTTTTAACAGTATTTCAGATTCCACTCGAAGAAGGTGCTCTGTTTTGCAATGGAATCCCGAAGTTTCTACACAAATTATTATTGCTTCTGATGATGACAGCTCTCCATCTCTCAGAGTAATTTCTGCAATATTTGTGTTTTAGTAATAGTCTATTATCAGTCCTAATACGTGCAGTGTATTTTCTCTGTATGATTATATCTGCAGGTTTGGGATGTTAGGAAGACGATATCTCCAGTCAGAGAATTTGTGGGGCATACAAAAGGTTAATTTATTTGTGCATTTACATATATACCACCCGATTTTTAAGTAGTTACATATCTAATGCCTGAAATTTTCCTTTTTGCATTTATACCACCCAAATATTTCATATCACCTCAAAAAATAACTCCCTTTTTAGTTTTTAAAAAGTGAAATACACCTTTTCATGCATAGCTAAGGTGGCAAGTTTAGGTGTTAGATATGTAAACACATAAGAATTGAGTGGGTATGTATGTAAATCTTCCTAATTTATTTACTATTACTTGCTTGTTCTTTCTTGTTTGTTTTCCGCCAACTTGTCTTAATTGTTTGTTATATCATTTTATCCCATAACTTCATAGAAGATCCGTTTTACATAGTTAATATTTACTCAAGAAATTTGTTTGCTACTATTTATGCTCTCTGATTTTTTTTTTTGTATTTTGTGCCAGGTTATCTTGTATTTTTTTTATCAGGTCATCTTTTTGAATGTTGAGACAGGCCATCTTTTTATATATTATTTATTTCTTTTTTAGATTTAGAAATCTTCAGCTCCCTTTTGTTGATAATGAGTCTTCCAGATATATGATTGAGAACATTACTCTTGCCAGTTTTTATAAGTTTTGTCCGGATATTAATATTCTTTCTTGCTTGTTTGAGTTTGTCTGTTTCTATTAGTAATTTTTTGTATACTGCAAATATTATTTAATATGAGTTAAATATACAAGAAAGATACACAAACAACAAGTTGATTTCAAAGATAGATGCACGTGAATCATCATTTTTGAGAAGATTTTAGAGTAGGGGCATTTATGTACTTACCAACGAATTCATATGTATTCGCATGTCTAAGACCTAAACTTTGCATTTTACATTTCTACCACCCAAATCTTTCACATTACATAAAAATTTTAGCAATTTAACATTTACAATGTGAAATTCATCTCTTTATGCATAAGTAAGGTGATTTGTATGTAAAAATTGAAGTCTAGGTGTTAGATATGTAAATGCATATGAATTGAATGGTTTGTATGTAAATTTTCGTGTAGAATAATGATGAGTTGCAGAAAGATTGGGAATAATTTTTTGTCATGTAAACAGAGCATCTGTCCTGAACTTTAGCAATCACTCAGTTTTGGTATTGAAGATCTGAGACGTTCAGTAACAATTTTGTGCTATGAAAGGACTACCTGAATGTTGCCATCTATTTTTGAGTTACATTTTTTTCCTTCCCTTTTGTTTTGTGAGTTTTACTTTTTAACCTCTTTTTTTGTGAGTTCTATTTTCTTTCTTAGCTTTCTTATTTGACTTTTACATTCCTTAGAGCTTGATCGTGTAATCTCTTGCATTTTATTTTTATTACTTTTTTTATCATAGCACTTTTATCTTGCATTTTATTTTTATTACATAATTTTCCTTCCCTTTTGTTTTGTGTTTGAAGTTTAGGTTTGTTTGGGATTCACTTTTATTTTTTGTTTTTTGTTTTTAATTTGATTTTGATTTTAAAAACATGTTTGTATTTTGTATTTTGTATTTTTAGCATGCTTTTATTTTCAAAAACAAAATGATTTGTTTTTATGAACACGTAAGAGTTGTTTTGAGTGTCCTTAAAAACAACTAATAATGTTATAACATACCAAAAATATTTTATTTCATGTAAAAACATAAACAAAACAAAAAGAAAAATCAAGAAAAAAAAATAAAATTGATCCCAAACGGATCGTCAGTTAACTTCTTTGTTTTCTTTTTTGGGTTTGTTTTTTAATATTCCTTATTACGCAGGGGTCATTGCTATGTCATGGTGTCCATACGACAGCTCATTATTATTGACATGTGCCAAAGACAATCGTACTATTTGCTGGGATACAAATACAGGAGGGGTATATACGATCTTGAAAATTTCACTCGATATGCGATTTTAGAATTTTTTATTTCATTTTTTTCATTCCGATATTTATGTATTTATCGGTGTTTTATCTGCATCATTTAACTGTACAGATTCAGAGTGAGTTGCCAGCCAGCACCAATTGGAATTTTGACATTCATTGGTACCCAAAGGTTCCTGGTGTCATATCAGCATCATCTTTTGATGTGAAACTCGGGATATATAATATTGAGGTATAGTCACCATTCACTTTCTCTTTTTCTTTAATTTAAAGTGAATTATTTACTCCGATGAACCGGTTGTGCTTCTTTCCATGAAAATATGTAGATAACTGAGTTTAAATATTTGTACTCTGATTATCCTGTTACATTTTTTGTAAGAACAATGCTTTTCTTTAAGCTACTGATCCACTTTTATTGTTAATTATGGCCTTTTTCCATCTTCTTTATTAGCTGGTCATGAAAATCCTCAGAATTTTGAAAAAAAATGATTGTAATTGGATTTAGGGGCTGAGCTGCTATAGTTTGTAAACTCTTTGCCTTGAAGTTATTGCCAATGAGCTTTTGTCTCCCGACCGGTAAAATATGCATTGTCAATATATGAGTTGTTCTTGATAAACCAGGTTTGAGGATTGTTTTTCTGTCGTTGTTGAGCGAACCTACTTTGCAGCTATGCCAATGTGGAAATCTTTAATAATGTCCTCAAGATCAATATAAAATAATTTATGTAATGGTTTCCCTTGCTAAATTTGGTTTAAGTTTCGCAGTTTCTCGTCAGGGGGCCAATTTGCAAACATGTCCGCGTGGAAACTATTGATAATGTTTATAAGAACAATGTAAAAGATTCTGTCTGGCGGTGTTTTTTTTATTCATCTTGTCACCTGGAATTTGTAATTCTCCCTTTGTTTGGGTCTTTTTAGGGTTCTTTCATGCATGTTCTGACTTCCAAACATACAATAAGACATTTCAACAGTAGCTGATAAAATATTTGCAGTTTTTCTTGTTTGCAAAAAAAGTTGTCTCAGATTGTGGCAGTCAGCATCATAAATGGCCACAAGCAGAAAGGAAATTGGATAGTCTCTCGCAACTTCCACTTGTGTTCTATACTTTGAAAACTTAAATTGGCACTTATACCAGTCTTTCAATTGCTTTTGTTGATGTGTAGTACAAATAAGAGGAAGGGGTAGATGAGTAGAAGAAGTGAAGTAAAGGGCGAGCCACATGGAACTGGAACACAAGGAAAAGACTAAATACTCTTTAAGCACGTTTCATAGTGATAGCTGGGATCTTTGTAAACATCTTACACACTCTTGGAAAAAAATAATTTGTTACTTTTGCTGATGATCACACGAGGTTAGGTTGGGTCTATTTAATGAAAGAAAAATTTGAAGTGAAAATAATTTTCAACATTTTTTACTCTATGGTACAAATATAATTTCAAAAAACTATTCAAATGTTACATAATTATAATAGCCGAGAGTATTTCCAAGATAATTTGGGTTAAGTTTTATTCGAAAAAGGAATAATTCATTAAAGGTTTTGTGCCGATTGTTGACCTCATTTTGAGGTCATTACTCCTTTCCTTAGGATTCTAGGATCCAGTTCTAGGGATTCCTATTGACTATCTTAGAAAATTAGTATTGGAATTCATCCCCTAGAAATTCTAGCCACTTCCTATTTCTCTTGTGATGTCTCGCATTGATGATCTCAAAACCATCATCGTATGGTCGAGTGGTTAAGGACTATCATGTGGAGACTTAGGGAGAAGTTTCCAATAGGATCTCAAGCCCTAAGAAAACCTCTTTAAAACTTTATGTTCTTACACACACACACAAAATGCACAAAATTCACTAAGTTGTACAAGATCGGACTAAAGTTGTGCTTAAAGGATGGGCGAAAATGCGAACTTCTCCGGAAGACCTCCGACGATAAAATGGGCTGCGCCAACGCGTCCGAGACACCAATTTTAGTTAGGAAAGACACTCATATTGCCATAACTTTGCACACGAGAAAATTGCACGCAAGTCGATGAATTCGTTAAAACTACCTTCAATGGCGAAACAAACCACACCTACATGTCTGAAACGTCAGAATTACCTAAAAAGGACATTCATTTTGCTATGATTTGATACACGAGTAAAAATGTACGAATCAAATTTTATTTTTGGGAAATATTAAATATTTTATATTTTTATATTATTGATTATTATATTAATTTTAATCCTAAACCCTATTTATCCCCTCACCAGCGCACTTAACCTTCTACTCGACCCCGCGGCTTAGATAGATGCTTGTCCCTGCGTGCCCTAGATCCCGTGGCTCATCCACGCGGCGATCCTCCCCCTCTCGACTCTTCTCCTTCTTCGCGTGGCCGCTCGATCTTTCGGTTCTCCAATTGCAAGGGCCGGGCTGGCCGACCCTTCTCCTTCTCGAGGCTTTACCGTCTCCTTTTTTATTGTGGTGATTCTTTCCTCGTCACTTTATTCGACCACAAAAATGGTGGTAAATGTGGTTGTCCCCTCTCATTTCTGCCTATAAAAAAAACATCCTAAAGTATTGTTTTGGGTTGTTGAAAATTTTTGAGAGAAAGGAGGGCTGAGTTTTTCACTAGTTGTTGTCGAGGCTTTTAGGAGAAGAGGCTCTGCCGAAGTTCCTTCTCGGCTAGGTTCTTGTGTGTTGGGGTGTTCGTGGGTCGTTGCTTCCTCGAAGGTTTTGGGAGAAAATTTCTACAGGTAGCATTTTTCTTAAATTTGTTCTAGAGTTTTGCTTTAAGTCTCCATTAAGAGGTATTTCTCCTCTTCCCTCTAATTTGCATCATTCGGATTTGCACCTGAAAGTATTTCTTTTCTCTTCTAAAACATGTGGAAGTAAAGTTTAGGCTTGTTTTGAGATCTAAGCATGGATAGTTTCTGGAAACAGTAAAAAAATGGAGCATAATATGGATACTTTCTCTTTTTCTGCTCAAAATGCATAATAGATAAAATTTTGGAAAATTCCAGTTGTTGCCATGAGATGATAGTTGCTTATTTGGAATATATGCTAGAAATGTAATGCTAAATGTAATGCTAAAATTCTTTGTTGTTGTTGCCCCTGTTCAAATATATGCTGGATGCAAATTTTGGGTTTTAAGGTTTTGTGGAATTTGATTCTTAGCGGCTCTGTTTGGGTCCATTTGGTGGGCTCGATTTTTGCTTCTTTTGGATTAAATGTTAGCTGAAAATTTTGTTTTGTTTTGGCCCATTTGATGAGCTCTATTTTAGCTTCTTTTGGTTTAAAAGTTAGCTGGAAATTCTGCCTTGATTTCCCATTTGGATGGGCTCGGTTTTGACTCTTTTAGGTTGGATTATAACTAAAAATGTTTCTCTGTTTACCCCATATGGATGAGTTCGGTTTTGGCTCTTTTGGGTTGAATTCATGCTGGAAATCCTGATTTGTTTTCCCCATTTGGTAGGTGCGGTTTTGGCTTAAATTGTATTCTTTTCTTTAGCCTTTATATTGGGTTTAATTTGGTTTGAGATAAGGAATTGGTTTGGCTCAAAAACTTATCTGCTGACTCTCTTTTACTGGGTTTAGTTGGGCTAATATTTTGTTTTATTTTTTTTTCTTGCTCCTTTGCTGGGCTCGAGTTTACTGGTCATGGTTCCCTGCCTTGCCCCTTTGCTGGGTTCGGTCTATCTGTCCCGGTTCTCTGTTTGCCCTTTTCTGCTGGGCTCGGTTTACCCTCTACGACTCCCTGTTTTATCCTTCTTGCTGGGTCGGTTTGTTCCTGTGCTGGGCTTGGTTTTGCCCCTGTGCTGGGCTCGGTTTTTCTTTGAAATGGTTTAGTTTTGCCCTTGTGCTGGGCTCGATTTATGCCTTGTGATGGCTGGGTTTTGGTCACTTTTTGGGTTAGACCTTACTTTCGGGTTGGCATGTTGAAAAATTTTTTGGGCTTAGTTTTGTTTTGGCTTGGTTAGGTGTTGTTTCCAGCACAATATATGGCTTGCTTTGGGGCCCTGTATTGCTTTTCTAGGCCTTGAGCCTTTCAGTAGTGAGCTTTCCTGTGGGTTGGTGGCTTCCCTTTGCTGTCCCTGGCTGTGAGCTCTCTCCCGTGGCTCTTTTATGGTGAATGTGGGATGGTGGTTTCCCTTTGCTGTTCCTGGCCGTGAGTCCTCTCGCGTGACTCTTTTATGTTAAATTTGTTATGGTGATTTCCCTTGGCTGTCCCCAGCCATGAGCTTCCATCTTTTGGTTCTTTGATTCTCTGTTGCTTGCCCTTACCCGAGAACACCTGTTTTTGTTGCTTGTTTGCGTGTCTCTTTGTGTTGGGACCGGTGGCTCCTCCTTTGCTTCTCTTACTCGAGAACACCTGCTGGTTAGTTGTGTGGGTTGCTGCCCCTACCCAAGAGCATCCATGTGGTTCTCTTTTGATTTTGTTTAGTTGTTCCCTGTTTCCCCCTTACTGTGAAGCTGGTTTGGTGGTTTTGGTTTGCTGCCCTGACCTGTAAGCTTGAGGTGTTGGCTGTTCTTTTGTTGCCCCTAACTGTGAGCTTATGTTGGAGCTTGGCTGTGTTCTTTCTTGATCCCAACTGCGAGCCTGTTGGAGGTTTATTCGAGCTCGTTTTACCCTCTTGATTGCCCTAATCGTGAGCACTTATATGTTATTTTGGATAATATTGCATTTGTACAGTGCGGGAGGCTTGTGGTTGAAATTGGAACTAGATGGTTTTATTGTTTACAAGATTTTAGGAATTTTGAGGATGTCATTTGTGGATTATATTCCTTTGATTCAATTGGAAAAATTTGAAAGGTTCTTAAAACTTCATTTCGGGAAAGTATGAAATTGGTATGAAGGATCCACGAAAGGATTTGAAGGATTTGAAAACTTATGAAATTGTAATTCAGAAAGAGTTTGGAGGCTTGACATTAAAATTCAGATAACAAAAATTCAGATAACATAAATGCCACAGACTTGGGTGTGTGATTATGTAATTGATGGTGGAGCCGTGTATACAATTTTCACATTAATTCACGCCCGTTTCGACCTGTTCGAAACAAGAATTGGAAGGGATACTCTTTTTGGGTTGATCCATTTATGAAATTTGAGAAAATGATATCCTTCTTGGATTGATTCAAGGATCTTGGGCCCTTATTTTCAGGTTTTTTTGTCATAACTTTTGAGGTCTGATTCACCCTTCGCCTTTTTTATCTTTTGGGTGATTAGTTCCTCCTCTCTCTCTCATCCCTCTCTCACC